AGAAATAAAACTTCTACTACTATTACTTGCTCTACTCGTGCTAATAATATTCCGATTATTACTGTTACTTATGCTTATACATACTAATAATATTGCTGCTCACGCTAATAGTACTAATGACACTAATACTACCGATGCTGACACCATTACTACTGCTAATACTATTGATAATACTACTAATAGTGATGAAAATACCATTAATTTTCACAGTACCACTAATGATATTATTATTACTACTATGATTACGACTGCTCCTACTACTAGTACTACGAGTAATAATACTACTATCACTACCGCCACCAAGTCGACTAATTCTCGTACTGTTATCACTACTACCATTGTTACAACAATTACTAATATCGATACTAATATTACTACCACTACTATATGTGCTGATCACAATATTTATTCTCAAGCTGCTACTACTGCAACTCGCACTATTACTAGTGCCACTTATCCTACTACTTATATTACTGTTCACACTGCTGTTCAAAGTACTTCTAATATTTCTACTGTTAACAGTGCTACTTCTACTTTTATCACTACTATTACTGATGCAAACTCTACTAGTAATAATAATAATAATAATAGTAATACTGCTACAACTATTACTACTGTTATTCGTACGACAACTATTCAAACCCCCGTTGCCAATGCTGTTGCTACTACTACACACACTTACGATACTGCTAACATTATTATTATTGCTAATACCACTAATGATAATAACAATGACAATAATACTTACAATTCTCCTACTACTGCTAAAACCACCGATACCGATACTGTTACTTGTAGTAATACTTCCACTACTAACACTACAACTACTGATAGCCTTACTACTACTACTACTACTACTACTACTACTACTACTGCCAACACCACTACCGTTACTATTATTATTATTATTGTTATTATCAGTAGTGTTATTATTACTGCTCCTACCACCAATACTAGTACTATGACTAGGAGTACGATTACTTCTGTTGCTCACACTATTACTACGCAATGCACAATTTATTGAACGTTATTTATACTTTTCTAGTGATTGTAGAACCTTAGAAAAATGAATTTATTAGTAAGAATATTCCTTCTTAACATTAAATTATTTTTTGGTGAATAGTTGGTCAATCTCTACAATTAGGACTATGATGAAATCAAAGGTTGAAAATTAAAACATCTGACATATATAAATTTACTCTTTTAGTAAAATGTTAACAAATCTTTTTTCCCAAAAAAACGTTTACTTGCGATATTGAGCATATAAATACGGTAGACATTATTGAGTCATTTGTGAATTTCACTAAAAATATATAACACTGATCATTCGTTGACGAATGTGTAACAAATTACAGGTTCAAATGATTCACTTACCTTCAGTAATATCATTATTATTATTTGTCCCTTGGGTTCTTAGTAGAACATAGGGCTTGAGCAGTACGCCTCCATTGCACTGTGTTCTCTGCCGTTGTCTCTAGAATTCCTCCTTCTTCTCTTCATCTGTATTATTTGTAGGCGCATAGCGTAGCATTGTATGATTGTGACCTTTCTTCCTTTTGAGTTGAACTTTGCTATCATGATCCTGGATGAGATTGGTTTCCACTGTATGAGAGCCTTTGATGCTCTTGGGGAGATCATGATAGCCACTCCGTAACTCAGTGTGCTCGTGGTTGTCGTCTGGGTGACAATATCGGAGTAGATTATTGACTGTCCAGTTGACAGTTTGGACAGTCTACTTCCATTCCATCTACTTTCACAGATTCCGAGCACTTCCATGTCATACCTCCTCATCTCTTTTGCAATCTGGGCAGCCTTGGTAGGTTCATACATTGTGCAGACACTTCATGTCCCCATCCTTACTTTCGCTTTCATCGAGAGTGTGAAGACACATCGGCCGGCTGGCTTACTGAAGGCTTTTACCAACTGGCGTCATTTCGTCTCTCCGATTTTAGCAAGGAATATGTTTGTTTTTATTTTTTAAAATTTCTTTGTGCTTTGAAGTTTCTGAAGCGGTTGGATTAGTTCTACTTGGTAGGGTTGCTAGCCCTATGCCCAAGGTTCCCTCTTTATCGGGGCTTAGGACCGGCTAGTAACTTGTAAATTAGTTAACCAGACGAGGTTACGTGCAATATTAACTGGTGGTGGATTATATTCGAGAGGATGACTACTGTTGAGTATACGTCAGTATGACCATGAGTGCGCTGTCATATAAAGTGTTGTGTGGTCTTCCTCTAACCTATGGATGTGTTATTACAAGAAAGCATGCAGAATCTTGAAGGAGAAAGAAGGACGTAGAAAGTGAACCAGCGACTCAGCAAACACAAAGAATGTACTTACAGTTATCGATAAAAGGTAATGGTTCACAACGAGAAGATAAACTAATTTGGAGGTAGGAACTAGCATTTCAAATGCTTTCTGAAATCCATCCGGATCAGTAAATGGTATTGACATCAATAAGTTTGTCATTTTGAGCTTCGATGAGAGCATGAATATCTTGAGCAACAAATCTAAATAAGTTTAAAGTTGAGAGTATTCATTGGGTAAAGAAACAGATTCTCTAAATGAAAACTAAATTGCAAGGACAGGTTGATTCACTTTTTGGTTTCATCAGTAACCTAAGTAAGAAATTCTCTATCAACCTCTGACTAACTAAGCAAACTGGCGATGACCTTGAGACATAGTGATTCAAACAAAGAAGCCATATACTAATTCTAAATTTATAATAGCCGTTGTATATTGGACCTTTATTATTTAGGTTTTATGATATTTTCAAAGGTATCGAAAACAGTTGGAAAGAGACTTGAATATATCCGCTAATAAATATATATTTTATCTTTATGTGCTAATGTTCAATAGACCTATTTTTATTGTTATAAAAAAGTATCAAACATCTAGTTAGTATACACAGATTTCAAATGTTCAGTAAAGTAGTAATGATGGGCAGTAGCTAGCAGTGGAATCCAGGGTGCTTAGAAAAATGTACATCATGGCAACTCTGAATATTATCTGTGATTACTTAAGACATTAGCAGAAACATGATAAAATTTTTGCGTAGATTTTATGAAAGAATCTTATTTTGGTTGAATCTAAAGTCTAGATACGATGACGTTAAAATCATATCATATCACTTCATATGACCACCTTAAGAACAGACCTAATACTCTGTGTGTTAGCGGCTAACACTCAGCAGAAAATGAAATCTACATTTCTTCACCATAACTTGAATCGTATTTCCGATTTGATATACTGCTGCAACAAAATAGTTAAAGTATCAGTATTTGAAATGGCTAAATAGTAACTTGATCGCCTAGAAACTTGAAAGTCCTGAGTTGAGTCTTTGACAAAGTCACGGGTGTGCATTGCCAAAGAGCCCCATTCTAAGACAAAATATCTCTTCAACGTTCCAAGATTTTTAATGATCCTCTAGCTGCTGCCAGTCTCGATCCAGTTCTGCAAAGGGTCATTCATGGTTTGAGTATCTATAATAATGATAATGATAATAATAATAATAATAATAATAATAATAATAATAATAATAATTGATAATGGTAATGATAATAATAATTCACTTTATTCCAAACAATCTTAGTGAGAGTTGACTGGAATAGACACACGTCAAGTCATCAGCATATTTAATAAAATTAGTTTTAAAAGAATAAGGCAATTCGTCCAAAAAGAACTGAAACACAACTAAATGACACAGGTTCCATTTGTCGAAGGAACTATCAATTTCCTCATGAATACGGACACGCCTTAACGATAACTGTGAACAGTTTCTGTTATATCTTGGGAGTGTAGTAATTGTCCCAACCATGTAATTTTTCTGATTCACCTCTAATTCTGTCACTGCGTGAGATTAGTCGCGTATATCTCTTATGATCACCATATCCAAACAATGGGTTACACAGTTTGGTCTTCCTAATCTGTCACAAAAGAACACAAAGTTGTACATCTAGGGCAATGTGAATCATCTGTATATACTAGTGAATGTCCTTTCCAAAACGCACCATAATTGATCAAGATAAAACAAACAATTTTATGTACAAATGGGGAAATAATAAGCAACAATCAGTCTTACTCAACAACCAATCATTTTCAAACTATACATTCTACAGAAATGAATAAGAGGTCGATCAAAAGCTGTTGAGTCGAGTAATACAGAAGTGTTAACAACTAAGTCATGAGTAAGGTATTTTAAGTTGTTATTCATCATAGGCTGACATCAGTTGGAGGAAAAAAGGAAACCTAGGAACATTGGACAACTGTTGTGTCAGTATGGGACTCCTCAGCAGTGCGCACCCACGACCCCGCCAGGGATCTAACCAGTGACCTTCAGGTTGCGTGAACAGCACGTTACCATTAAGCCACTGAGTTAGAATTCAATGTTCCATATTTCTAACTTCTGTACTTTAAAAACTGATAAACAATAAGATCGATTATACTTATTTGAGATTTTTATTTTATTTTTCCGCCGATATAACACATTGAAAAATAATTTAAATCGTGAACTCCTTATAGATTGATTACTAACATTTTACACAAAGATACCGTTCATCACAGCGATAGGTCACTTAGTTTGATGACTTTACTGTGAAATTGATCAAGAGAGGCTGGTGAGTACTGAATACAAAGGTCCAAATATCTATATCTCGTTATACATGGATTTAGTTCTACCTGAGAATCGCTTCATATGAATATATGCACGACAGCTCATATCGTTTTCAAGATAAGACATGTACAGTTGAAATAGTCGAAAAGATTTGTTGCTCAGGATAAAGATGGTGATGGCTTGGTGTTCTCTAAGCATGGTAGTGGATACTACATCTCCAGGCTTGATGATATTCTCAACACTAACTTTATAAAGAAATTACGAAACATGTATGTCAAGGCTTAGAGAACAGCAAACCATCATCATGTACATATTCATATACGATGCATACTCTTTCTTAAAGGTTACAATTACGTCCAGTCTACACATTTGTTTCATTTGTTTTTCCTAGGCTAGTAGACGTAGACGAGAAATGCGACAGAAAGACAAAGACTATCGAGTAAGTGCTTCTCATTATTTTGTTTTTTGTTTTGTAAACTCTACACTTTTCAAAATATGTTTTAACACTAAGATATAGCAAAATATATCGAAAGTTAAGTAATTCTTTGCAATTAAATTCACAGAAATTATTCTTATTGTTTGGGTATCGAGATCCATCTATCATCTTTCCATCTAAATCAACATAGGACCAGGTATTACTGCGTAATGGTCCGAGTTACCACAACTCATATCAGTACATCAAGTAAGAAGGCAATGAGGTAAAAGGTGAAGATAAGAAAATTCAGTCAAAAGAAATATAAAGTGCGAAAAGAGATAAAGGAAGAATGAGAAAATGGTGGGATTCGGTATAGCGTCGTTAAGATGAGGATAACGCGTGTATACATCTGCACCACTGACATCGGTTCTCAGCCATATCACCTAGAGTCTCTAACCGCTGGTTCCTTTTGTCCTGCCGACCCCATCCGGCCAGTGTGCATCACCACACATGGCTCAAACCAACAGTCAAAGACTTCATACATTCATGACATGTTGTAATCTGGCCGAGAGCCAAGAGTCTTTTTCCAGCCTAAACCTACTTCGGCCAACATTGTGTGATGAGGCAATCGGTGACTAGGCATACGTAATACGTGTCCCAACCATCTCAATCGATGAAGGTTCAACTGATTTACCTCTACTCCCTAAAACTCTACACCTGACTTGTGCGTTACTCACGTGGTGACACCACAAAATACGGCCTATACTACGGAGGCAACGGTAGTAAAACACCTGAAGCCTTCTAATGTCTTCTACCTTCAGTGGCTATGTTTCACATCCATACAGTAGGACAGAGCGGATTTCTATGCAGTATACGCGACCTTTAGTAGACAATCGGATATCACGGTGGCACCACAGGTGGCGTAAGTTGGCAAAAGCCAGTCAAGCCTTTTGTATTCGAGCGGAGATTTTGTCGGCCACTGACCAATGCTCCAGGGCTGGCCCCCCTTCCCAGATAAGTGAAGTGGTCATCACACTCAACCACTACGGTCTCTATTGTTAGTCGGAGTACCGTTGAAGATCAATCCTGGAGCAGCAATTTGCATTTGGGTGGTGAGAAATGCATTCCAAACATTCTCAAATCGCTACTCAAAGTGTTCAGAAGACTCGGAATTTTATCAGCGTCTTCACCTAACAGGTATTGGAATAGATTATTTTGAATATTCTTTGTCGGATTTTTAATGAAATTATTCTGAAAAAGTTTCTAGTTCAGTCTACTAGTATATTATCAGCTTCTGAAGGTCCCCGAAAATATATCAACTTTATTCTCATCTCTATGACCTTTATTTTTAATAAGTCAATTTGAATCACATCACAACATCAACATCTACATATTCATCAAAGACTAGCATCAGCTGGAGAACCATTGAAAACCTGAGAGAATTGAATATATGTTTCTTCCTGGTGAACGGCTCCTTAGCAGTACCCTTTGGCATGTATATAAATTTAGATAACCTAAAGTTTTTCCCCAGTTCTTTATATCACTTATGATGATTTTATACAGTTGGCATAAATGATGGTAACAACCACAAAAAAAGGATGATTAGCTGTAGTAACAGGTAGATGAGAAACTCAAGATAATCAAGCTGGTTGAAAGTCTAACAGCAGAAAAGTGATATTCACCAAAGGAGAGAGAGAGAGAACTACAATTTTATTAAGTAACATATGAAAAATAGTTTGAGCATCTATAGACTTTTTATTACTCAAATCTAGTCAAGTTGTTAACAAACTGGCGACCTACGCCAGGTTGTCTCATTTGGTATTTTCAGATCACATTTCATTTCATCCGAAGACCAACTACTGTCTATAACATCTACTTTCAATTTTGTCTGTTCACTTTAGTATGTCATGAGTCATAGATGACCTTAGATATTGAATTTTATTCAACTACCATATGAACAATTGTCATTGTTAAGATGGACAGTAGCTAACAGTGGAATCCAGGGTCCGCGTTTCGTCCCATTTGGGACTCGTCAACTGGATACACCTGCCTCCCAGTGAGTGATGTTGTTCCCACCAGGATTCAAACTTGGCAGCGATTGCTTCAAATGCCAGAGCGTTATCCATTAGAACATCGAGCCACGATAGCCACTTCTTGTGCGATGAGTGTGGTCTTAGTATAATTGATTGTAATATACCGTCGTTGATTAGACCGGATTGACCGGTCTATATTGGGATATGTGCGGATGCCTGGATATATAATTAAAACACAGGTAATATCAAGGCATCTGCACAGAAGCCCATATGCCAATAGAGACTGATCAATTCGGTCCAATCAACGACAGTATAATACAAGCAATTATATTGTTGTTAGTATTTTCTCATAGAATGGGTTGAAATGAAGATAATCGAATTAACCATTCTATCATATGAGCACTATATGCGAGATGCTAGAAGTTCGTTGGCAGAAAGCTATAGATCTCAGTTACATGCCTATCACACCTCATCAGTAATGTATATCTTCAAAATTTGGAAACTCTTGGTCCAGGGTTTCCTACCAAATGATGCCAAACATCGCAAATGGAATAAAATGTACTACAGTGAGGTATTTCTTAGATTATTAACCATACAGTGAAGCTGATAGATGCATCAACTAACCTCAGGTGAACAGTTTATGTGTGGAATACTACGTAAGGAAGTCGGCTATTTGGCATACAAAGGATTCATAGTCTTTTAAGCCTTTGATCAAACTTAAATATACAGAGAAATAAGTGAACTCAATCAATCATTCTCAACATTTTAGTTTTATTTACTTTTCGATAAGTCTTGCTATTTCTATACAAAATGATGCTATCAGGATAACGTCGGATTATTAAATTTCGAGGCTTTCAGAGAACCGATATATTTCCAAGTAGTTTCTGTCATGGATCAACATCATTCAGAGAACCATTAGAAGCCTAGAGGCTGTAAACAGATATTTAATCTTAGTTTGAGAGTGCTCAGCAGTACGAACCGATGACCCGATCAAACATCGAACCAGAGATCGTCAAGTTTGATGGCGTGCACGTTACTAAGCACCCATCGGGTCTACTGAACTGCTAATCAGCAGCTTCTGTGAAGATTAGACAGTCATGCAATAATTCTTTTACTCAACAAATAAAAATCCTCCACTTATATTTATGAGTTTCATACAGAACAACCGGTGTCATTTAATAGTAAATTCCCTTTACACCTTCGTCTTTTTGCTTACTGAAACTTTTCAATAACACATATCTACGAAAATGAAGGATCTCATATTTGTATGATGATTTTAATCAGCACGACTCAATACTGAAGTAAAGGACCTTAACACTATACTATTTGTGTTCCAATAGACTCACTGTTCAACTAGCTTATGTACCTGCAGCTGTCAAATTCTTAGTGCTCATTACTACTCGAAGTTCCTAGATCAACTTAACACTAAGTATGAGAATATATCCCACAAGCTCACATGCTATATGTAGCTACAGATCCTAGGTCGAATTATCTGACTTTAGGTCAGTGAGTGTTAGTGTAGAGCTGCATTCAGCTCAGCTAAACTAATGTGACTGGGTAATATCTTTGGCCTGCGCTAAATAAGTGCAGCTCATGCACTCATATGTGAACTTTCAAGTAGTAAACTGAGTATTTAGGGCTATTACGTGATCTTTATATGTTTGATTGTTGATATTGTTTAAGTGATATCCATAGTCAGTAACTAACTTATACGGGGATAAACCACCTAACATATATGTAATTTATACGTCATAAGAATAAGTGTCGTAATTTTCCTAGGAATATTGTAAGCAGTTTCCGAAAACTGGATTGTTTTTAAATAAACGGAATCAGAGAATACTTAGTACGAAAATGTTTTCAAGCTTCTAAATTATTACCGGTGTGTATTAGTTTATATGGATGTTGTGACATGAATATACTGTGCCAGTGTTAAGAGGTAATCTACTGCATACTATCAAGATAGATTTGTTTACGCCTATATATACATCATAAATGTATTCCTGCAGCTTACAGTATTCAGAGCTTACTTCCCATTGCTTTCAACTAACATCCTTCAAAGTACGTCTCTGCGGAAAGCTTCCACACTGCGAAACGACCAATAGGATTGAGTCAGCGTTTAGGATTAGACAACATGAAGTTGATTACTCTCCAGTGACCAATTAATGTGCCTAATCCAATCCCATAGGAGGTTCGTCGTGGTCTAAATGGCTCAGTAATTACACAGATAACTGCAACACTCGGTGACGCTAGTTCGAATCTTAGGAGGGACATCAGTCCCATCAAGGATGCAAATACGCCTTGCAGAAGAGTGCCAACAAGCAAAAAACCTAAGTCTAAGTCATCTTGCCTCCGTCCAATTAACATCTGTCAGAATGCATCGCGATGCTGAGCTGCCTATTTCGGTGGTCACATTGCAAAATGATGGGTACACTTTGGTCAGCCCTCAGGACTAGACAACCAATCAGTGTATACAATCTAGTCCAACCGGAGGTCAGTCACTACACCAGTAGATCGGTGGTGACATTACTGACTGTGAAACTGAGTGATGTGCTTTCAAATCTTACACAGGGCAGCATTCTCTTGACGAATGCCAACAAGTATGAAGCCTAAAGGAAGAAGGGCTTCTTGAGGACTGCCCCTAACCAACTAATGAAAAACGTTGGTGAAGTTTAGGTATTATATTGATCTTGATGACTAGTAGAAGAATCGAGGACGCGAGTTTTGTCCTATTTTGGACTCTTCAGTTGAATGTATCTGCATCCCAGTGAGAGATGTTGTTTCCACCGAGGCTCAAAACCAGTACATTTCGCTTCAAACGCCAAACGCGTTATCCACTGAGCCACTGTGGCACAGTAGCCACCTTTTGTGAAACGGATGTCAGCGTATCGCACCCCAGTGGCTCAGTGGATAACGCGTTTGGCGTTTGAAGCGAAATGTACTGGTTTCTACCTTCAGTGGGAACAACATCTCTCACTAGTGTGCAGGTACATC